AACTGACGATTGAACACCGGGAACTAGGGGACCTGGAAACCGGGCCTGGTCCGATTCGGTTCCGACCCCCTTGCCCTACCCAGCAAGCGCCGGTATTATTGCTCTGTGGTGTCGTTTTCGACCCCTTCAGCATCCATACCTACACACTTCACCTCACTTCCCTTAACCCTGAGCAAGAACCCCCGGCGAGAGGGAGGCAAATTTTGGACTGGACAGACCCAAAAGGCAAATCATTCATCTGCCCGAGAAAGGGATCTGCGCGCACTGGGAACAAGCAAGCGAGAATTTCGAGCCGCGGGCGTGGTGGGCTTTAGGGACAAGCCATGAACCCGACCATCTGCTGTTCTGTCTATTTTGACCTCGTGCAAAGTCAACAACAGCAGCAGCAACACCAACAGCCACAGCTACAGCAGCAAAGACACCACGACCTTCGACCAGCTCGCAGCCGCAAGCCTCCCCGACTTAGGACGCAAATCCTGTTCGCAGTGCCTGCACACCCAGCAACGGCTGAAGCGAGACCATGAAATCTGTGTCCAAAGCTGCCAGTTGATGCAATCACGCAAAGCGCGGCGACGTGTAATCCAGCCATTTCTTCCGACGCCAGCGAGACTGAGAGTTTCTTGCACTGCCGTAAATTCTAACTGCCAGTCAGCCCTGTCCTGCCTTGACATCGAGCACTTACGTAGTGTCTTCGTCGTCGGCTGGAGGAGGACGCCTTCGAGGCCCGGGAGGAATGGCGGCCGATCCTCACAATCTCCCCGACCCGGCCGTCGATACTGCCATTCGGCAGCTTCTTGATCAGCAAGCAGAGATTCAAGCAAGACTTGCCGCCTTGTTGCCCGCCAAGTATGGCCCAAACGTCAAGCTGGAGCTTGATATGCTCCGCCATAAGCTACGCGTGTTGCAGACATACTCCGATCATCACCGTAAGTTCCATCCCCCAAGCCTTTATGGACCTGAATGGACCGAATATTAAACAAATTTCATTAGAAATTTCGAGCAGTATACGAGTCGTCTCCGAGTTGGAAGAGGCAAGATCTTTGCAGTATCGATGCGAATGCATTGAGACTGCTTGCTTGGAGCAGGGTAGGTGTCTGCTTGAGTGCATCCCCCAAATACCCTTTTCTGTCAAATGCCTAATTTTCTCGCAGGCCACGATCTCTCAGACCCAAGTATGATGGAGGCGCTCAGGCGGTCGCTGTACGATGAGGCACCCGCAGGCTATGCGGCCTGGTTCGATCGCAATCTGGCGAATTATGACCCAATCGTTCGCGGTTGGAGGATGAGGGATAGTTTGTCACCATCGTCGCGAGCTCCGTCTTACAAATGCTGGGATGAGCGCTGCATACATTACATATACGGCTTCTACAACAAAGAGGATCGAGATGCCCACGCGCGAGAACACAGCATTCATGTCCACAGGGACTCAGGCATGTCTGTTGGCAACACCCCGCCCATTCCTTTTCCCGAATACTCGACGACGAGATCTTGGGGACCCGAGGCTAGCAAACAACTACTCCCTTTACAACTGCCAAATCCCTCAAGCGGTGCACAACTAGCATCCCTGACGACTGTGGGTCAGCCGAGAGACCGTCGCGATACCTTACAGTCCTACTCGCTTATCAGCGATCCCTCGGGGCCTGGAAGAGGTTCTGTGGATTCCGAAGTCGACCCTTTACTTCCACCTTTGAAGCGCAGCAGGGTGGGACAATCTCGGTTGCAGTCCATTGGTGAGCTCAGGCTACTCCAGGACTCCGGGCCTTGTTTGCGCTGCATGGTGACGAAACAGCCAGTAAGAACACGAGGCCCTGGAGACGCCGGGTGTAAGTTTACTGACGGTTGACAGTGCGATTCCAGTGAGCCTTGCTACTATTGTACCGATCAACCAACGAGTCCGAGCAGCGAGTTTTGGCGAGTTATTGGCTGTCATCGCGGGCCATTGGAGGCCTTTTCCGACATAATGCTTTCAGGTCAGTTGTTTGCATGCCGAAATCCTGCAGCTGAACTTAACACCCCGTAGCTCCCGTGTCACCCAGGCAAACCCAAACTCCGATAACATCTCCGCTTGCGCAGAGGAGGAGCATGAACGAACACCTCGAAAATAGCTATCGAATACCTCCTGACATACTCCACGCCGTGAAAGCAAATCTGGACTTCGACGACGGCTTTTGGTGGACAGAAGAGCTTGCCAGTCTATCACTGACAAATCCCACCCTTTCCAACTACTCTCGAGAAGCAGTTGAGCGTCCACCGCCGATCTTGAGCGTTCTGACGGCAAGCTGGAATGGAGGTGGAACATCGTACAACTTTCTCCACCTCGTTAAAACCAGCGGCTTGATTGCAGCGACAAGAGAGATGGAAGAGGCAGCGTTCCCGGTTTTGTACCGAGCAAAACTCCTGTTGCGGGAAGTCATTTTCTGGGATCTCCAGCAACCCGAACCATCCATCCGGATAGAAGGCGGGCCGCCTCATCGAGCTTTGTTTGCGGACGAGATCGACCACGACGCACACTATAGCTTGCTTTATAACTGTATGGCACAGTTCCTCCAAGCGTTCGAAGGGGTAACGATGAGGAAAGGCCCTCAAGACGCAAAGACGTGGCTGGCAACTTTCATATCTCTATGTATATTCAGCGTTGTACGAACGATCTTCATTGACATGACGTCCTTTCTGCCTAGGCGTCATGCAGTGCAAACGCCAACTACGTGGAGAGGGAGTACCGGCGCACAAGCAATGCACAGTGTCTACAAGCTTCTAGTTACCATCTTTGTCGGCTCGGGGCCGATGCTTTTGGACGAGCAAGCTTACAGCATGGATGAGCGCGACAGAATGGTGGTGGAGGCCCTGTTGACGATTGTACGCAAAGATCTGTGGGCGCAGCACGGATTTTCGTCTTCCGCGGATTTCTTGATGCGCCTTGGAGACGGCGATACGGAAGGCACGGCTGTCTTTAATGGATTTCTCAGGCAAAGGATTCCTGCAAGAGCCAGTTCTCTTGTACTGCCGCCAATGGTCAAGCCCGGAGACGAACCAAGGCGACCGATGCACGATCCCCGAGCGCTAGGCGACCCGTGGATCCCGAACCCGGCCCCACTCCCGGAAAGAGACTTATTTGCCGGAGGAGGGCTGGATTACATGACATCTCCACAGGCAATGGACCCTTTGGGCCGTCGACATACAGTTGGGGAGAGCCCAACGTTTCCTCGTGGACCCATGAGGCCCTTGGAGTCACCAGTCGCAGGCGGAAGAGGACGTCCAACATATCAACGACCGCCACTGCGTCGAGTCTATTGCATCAAATGTAACGAATACCCGGAGGGATTTCGTGGTGAGCATGAGCTACGAAGACACACCGACGCGAAGCATGCTGCCCTGGTAAAGCGCTGGGTGTGTACCGAGCCAGACAGTTACAGCGCGGTTTTACCTCAGCCAGTGGTTCCTTTGTCGAAGTGTAAGGCTTGCGTCACGCAAAAGCGTTACGGGGCTTATTATAACGCGGCAGCGCATCTTCGCAGAGCTCATTTCAATCCGCACAGAGGTGGAAAGGCCAGCGGTGACTGGCCGCCTATGACCATTTTGAAGGACTGGATGCGAGAAGTGCGGCAATCCGTCGACATCCAAGACAACGACGAGTCCAGTGGAGGTGAAGAGGGGGACTACAAACCGCCGCCGGAATACTTTACACAGGCGCCGCCCCCGCCCCCGCCAATCCGCTCCCCGAACTTTGGCCCTGCTATGATAGCAGCAGCTCCGCCGTCTATCCCGATGCTGATCGCACCGGCAGAGCCCATGGTACCCTCGCAACTGAGTAGTCCTTCAACAAAGACTCTCGACAATCGAACGCGATGTCCTCATCCTGATTGTGGAAGAGTGTTCAAGGATCTAGCAGCACATATGCTTACTCATCAGGAGGAGCGACCGGAGAAATGTCCGATAGAGACTTGCGAATATCATATCAAGGGCTTCGCCCGGAAGTATGACAAGAATCGGCATGCCCTAACACACTATAAGGGCACCATGATATGCCCCTTTTGTCCCGGAGTGGGTACTGCGTACGAAAAAGCGTTCAACCGAGCCGACGTGTTCAAACGACACTTGACATCCGTCCATAACGTGGAACAGACACCACCCAACAGTCGGAAACTAATCATTAGTGGATCCGGCAATGTTCGCGGCGATGGCGCTCAATGTTCCATCTGCCAAGGCTTCTTCGGCACAGCCCAGGAATTTTATGAGCATTTGGATGATTGCGTTCTTAACGTTATTGTACCCTCGTCGGCCAAGACACCCCGAGACTCGTCGCTGCTTCCCTCAACATCGTCTGGCATGGAGGACAGAGAGAGGATGGGCGATAGCGATACCATAAACGTAAAACCGATGTCGCCTCCTGGCGAGAAGATGGATATCAACCCATAGCGCCGGTTGGGATTTGGGTAGATCAGTTGATTTTATTCATGTGTCGTGTAAAGGCTGGGATCGTCGTTTCCCAAATACCCCTAGTTTTTGCAGTACTTCTGGATTTAGCGTAACATCTAATGATACGATACCAAAGGGCCAAAACGGCCTGAAGAATTGAAAAACCATTTACTGTTCTCAAGAGGTCTGTCGATGAGTGCGTGATTCGCAGCGCACACAAAAACCTTCGGAGCCATTGGTATTCGGTTATGGCCGTCCTGTTCAAAATTGCACATAAATCATACAGAAAGCGCGTGCAAGTCGGTGTCATTGAATATCATTCATTTGCATGCGCTGGCTTTGCGCCGACCCCATCTTTACTGAGAAAGCAGCCGGTTCCCGGCACATGATTTCATGCATTACACCTATATCATCCGTATGTACGCACATCTCCAAACTAACGTTAATCCGTCTCTTCGTGTCTCGTTGATTCCACTTCGGTCCTCCCCGCCCCCTTTGCACATAAGAAATAAGGAAAAGAGTGGGTAAAGAACAAACATGTTCTTTGCGTAGATTCGACAGCGGTGACCCCGAGCCCCAAACAATTATGCTGCAATGCCGACAGAAATGAGCCCCGTGCCGGATTTGGGCTTCCTCGCGTACCCGCTCAACATCCTCCACCCGGCACCGCAGCTTCTGCCCTCTTCGACAATGGCTGCGACGCCCTCAACACTCTTGCCGGCCTCTCTCATGGCTGCGCCCTCCGTCACCATATCGGCAAGTCGCAGCTCACCGCTGACCTTTTCCATCTCGCAGCGTAGCAGCCAGCGCTCCCAGCTCCAACCGCCAACAATGCCCGTCACGTTGGCAATTCCGTCAGTGCTGCCTGTAACCATGGCTTCCATCGTCACCGTCCGCACCTCCTGGCCCGCCGGGCTAACCCGGGCGGGCAGCGAAGGAAGGGGCTTTCCCTGCTGCTGTGAAGGGCGACGCGCGCCTACGGGCAGGCACATCCACGCCCGGCGGACCTCGTCGAAGCCTGCGCGTGAGAGCCGCCCGAGAAACATTCTGGTAGGGTTGGGATCGTAGCCCAACGTTTTGAGGTCGAAGCCAAACTCGACGCTCTTAGCCAAGCCTAGAGGGCCGGCATTCATAATGTCCGAGTCGAGGACAGAAAACTCAAGATAGCCACCTGGCTTGAGGACACGCAGGCACTCCTTCAGGCACGTCTCCCATTCGTCTTCACCATTCTCGCCAACGAACTTGAGGATGCTGTGCAACTCACGCGCCGAGATGAGGTCGAATTGGTCGTCTTTGAAGGGGAGGCGAGTAAGCCTCTCGACGGCCACTTGGCGGTGATTGGGGGGGCCTCGGACGTTGGAGTTGGACAGCTGGCGGATTGTCTTGGTTGTGACAGTGTAAATTTTGGTGTTGGGATATTGCAGCGCGCAGTGCCATGCCCAGTCACACGTAGACTGTCCCCCAAGATCGAGAACTCGAGCTCTGTCGCGGGCAACACCATCACGACCAGGCGCCATACGCGAGACGCGAGCGAGACGCTTAGCAACAGGAGCTGAGATCAGCTTCCCACCGTTCAACATTCTGATGGCGGCAACATGCCATGCAGAGATGGCCATCTGGGACATGGCTTCGTGTTCCTTTTCACGCTTGATCTTTTCGGGGTCATCAATGAGAACGTCATCGCCACGGGCGACGTTGGCACTGAGACGTTTCTTGGCTGACTGGGGGACGACACTGAGTTGGTACTTTCCCAGAAGTTGATTGCGGTGAAACTCCCGGAGGCAGACACGCTGAGCCTGCAGTGCTTCAAAGCGTGGAAGTTGGTGGACGAAGACGTCTTGTCTGCTGGAGCGGATGACGTAGTCCTGGAAAGCACGGTAGTACGCGGACTCCTGCCTCAGAAGCTTGGATGGCAGACGGCAGGGGATGTTGGTCTTGGCCACAAACTCGGAAAAGCGAACAGTTTTCTTCATAGGAACAGTGACGGTTTCTGGTTCTGGCAGGTTCTCGGCGTCTTCGTCCACAACCTCAGGTATGGTATCAAGGTTTTTGTTGTTGTCTTCCCCATCGCTTTCGGCTTCGACTGGCTTTAGGTATGCGCGCTGAGCCATGAGCCACATCTCAGTCCGGTCGAGATTGGAGAGAGCAACCTCTTGCTGCTTGCGGGCGTACTCCGGGTCATAGACGGTGACAATCTCAGTTGGCGCATCATCAAGCTCCGGCGAAGCTGGCTCGGCCAATGTGTTCGACGTAGTTGAGAAGATCGTCGGGACGATTGGCTTAGCGGTGGGCATGTCGTCTTCGTCAGGGACCTCGTTCCTGACCTCCACAACCTGCTCAACGATCAGATTGGGTGAGGGCAGAGAGTTGCGGTAGAACTGCTCGACAGACTCATCGCTCTCATTGGCGATAAGCCTGGGCTGTGCAATCGGCAGAGGGGGGATGGAGGCGTTCATGTTCCATGGGCAGCGGTAGAACTGCTCTGCCGTGGTGGATGTGGGAGGCATCATCTCCTCGGGCGATCTGGAAGGCATGTGCCAAGTAGTTCTGGTTCGTGGAGAAAGACCGGAAAAAAAGCCCCCTGGAGAGGGAATGTCGAGCTTGGTGAGATCGGCGAGAGACCGGCGATGGGTGCTGGGTGAGAGCGCAGCCACGCGTTGTGGCCGCGGGCGAAGATTCGTAACGATTCTCAGAGGCTGTTGGCGCATTTCGGATACTGGTTCTTGTGGGAGTTCAATCACTTGTTCGGTGTGCTCACCCTCGTGCTCATGCAAGCTATCGTTATCCCCAGAAAGGGCATGTAGAGTCGCCAGGGCTCCAGGTTGAAGTCGAACGCCAGACCAATCTTCCTCATTCTTGTCTCCACCTTCACTGCCGATGATAGGAGTCGGAGGCGCCGACATGTGTGCTAGTTGTTCAGAGCTCAGACTTCCATCTAGTGACGGCGGTGCAGAGATGGTGGGGACCTCTTGCGACTGCTGAGCCTGCATGAAAGACATCACGGCAGGAGACATCTCGACTCGGGTCGGCGGCGTGGGCGGCACTGGGGATGCGAGAGCTTTCTTGAGGCCCGCAGACCAATCTTCGCTGGATGCATTTCGACCGGCAGGAATGACGAGAGGAGGTAAAGCCCTGCGAACCCCGCTTGCGGACTGCTTCGGGACCTCGTTGCGGATCGAATTGCGTCTCCTAATTGACGACTTACGCGAGGGCATTCTTCGAAGCGCGGGTTGCACATCTTCATCACTGACATCATATAGATCGTCGAACTCTGTGACGTCCGTCATGACGCTTGCTCGGTTGTTCCAGGGGTTCGAGTTTGTAGATGGAGAGCTTCCCTCGTCGTTTGAGGTCGTTGACGGCGAGGACGGCAAGATGGGTGCAGAGAGAAAGTGGAAGCCCCGTGGAGTGGGAAAGTGATCACTCAGCGGTGACAGCCAGGCTTCAATATTGAGCTTTGAGGCCGGATCTCGAAGTCCCCTGTTGTCGGTGGCATACTGACGCACCTCAGTCTCCTCGGTCTCCTCCTCCATTATAGTATTAAGCGACCTCCCTGCCATTCGAGCCTGCGAAGGTGAAGGAGGTCTATATGTTGATGGTTGTAACTGATCGCTTTCAGCCATCTTCCCTTATGCAGTCAGATATCCTGATATAGACTTGCGGGTCGATGTACTGTAACGGTATAAATATAGGCAAAATGCGACGTTCGGTAATACCAGACAATCGGTTGACGACCTGCGCCGCTTTGGAAATGAAGAGAGAAAAACGAAAATAACGACAGGCCGCTTCAGTCAATGAAGCTCTCAAGTTTGTGACAACAATGGGGCGGTGGTGAAAGTAATGAGAGAAGGGGAGGAAAGGATAGGAGGCCCGACGGTTGGCCATCGCCGAGTGATATAGTCTCGTGAGAGACCTTGTTCTTCACTGCTGGAGGCGGCTAATTAAGATGGTGTCCGCACGAGTGGGCTGCGAAGCACGCTGCCTTGGCTTCCACGCACACGCCCATGATGGGGCAGTGGCATGGCCAAATGCGACCACGACGGAGGGACAGCGCAGCATTTTCGAAGCAATGCGTTTACTGCGTAGCATCACATGCAGCACGCCTGCTAGAAGAGGCTGCAGTGACCCGAAATGGACGTGTTGCCGGCGCATGAGAGGGCGAGAAGGCGGTGATGGGAAGACGAGAGAGCCCATCTCCATCCGAAAGGGCTACTGCATCGGGCCACGAGCAATGTTTCGACCCAATCAGTAAGCTCGAAGACGTGTCTAATTTTGGATCACAGAGGCCGACCATGGTATGGGTGAGCAGCGACTGGCTGGCGCGCGCGAATTCAAGAGGCGGGAGGTGGGAGCCATCCTTACTGGAGATGCACGACTGTCGAGTCACCGGCCAATGACGATGCTGGATATCAACCCGGCGCTTAGATGCGACGGGGATTGGAGGCAGGCCACTCGGCCAACCGCGAGCCATGAATTGAAGGGCCTCTAAGCTGGCCTTGCGGAGAACAAACTATTGACTGGCGCATGGATTTCGTTGAGACTGGTTATGCAAGAATTTGATGAACTTTCGGTCCTGACTTCTGTATTCGATTTTCGCGTCGGCAGCAGCATACACGTCTTTTTGATGTTAATGTTGCGTGATACATTCGCCATAGCGTGCTCAGCTACGACGTTGGCCTGGTGGTATGAGGAATTAAAAGACGGCGGCCTGAGATCGAGCGTCCGGCTCGACGCAACCGAGGGCATCAGACAAGCGTAGAGGTTTACTTTGGCGGTTGCGATGGTTTCTCCACTCGGCGTGGTCTGTGGCTGGAGTTCAAGCCACGTCACTTAGGTAACCAACGTAAGGTGGTCTGCTGTGGCAGTTCATGCATGCCCCGCCATCGATCAACCCCGCAGTCGGCCGTCCTTGGAAGAGACTTGAGAGGCACGCGTCTACTTCCGTCCTCGACCCCGTGCTTCACTTCGCGAGCACTTTCTTTCTCTACATCTCCGTTTCCTGCTCTGCTTCGGCCCTTTCTTGCGTTATGGCCGACAATGACAAGTCAGAGACCTCAGGCGAGCCTCAAGGTCGCCACGTAATCTACTGCGGCGGTAAGTAACAGGCGCATTGTAATGTCACTCGAGGCGCGAATTCTGACCTGCTTTACCCCACGTCTAGTTTGCACTCTCCCCCCAGAGGTACGCTTCAGAACGATGGCAACCCTTAGGGCGTCCGACATACTCATCCCAATTGACTAATATAGTACTGCGAATATGGAGGCACCGTGAAGAAGTGCCAGGAGTGGCTCCAAAAGAACCAACCCGAGCTGTATCAGAGAATCTGGTCTGCAGGTACAAATACCACACCACCAGTCTAGCGACATAGTACGATACTTACGACGAATTATTACAGAGGCCCTCGAGGCAGCAACAGCATCCCTATCTGTAGACGCCCAGAAGCGAGCTGCTAAAGATGCCCAAAAGAAAACTGCCAAGGCCGAGGCCGCCGAGGCGAAGCAAGCCGATAAGCTCGCCAAGAGTACGGTCACGATCAAGAGAATTGAACGCAACAAGAGAAAGTTCGTCACGTCCGTGTCTGGCTTGGAACATTTTGGACTAGAGAACAAAAAGGTCGCCAAGGAGTTTGGGAAGAAGTTTGCTACCGGCTCTTCCGTAACCAAAACCCCGAGCGGTAGCGAGGAGATTGTCGTGCAGGGCGACGTCAGCGACGAGATTGAGGAGTTTTTGCTGGAGAAGTACAAGGAGATACCCGAGGACAACATTGAACTGGTGGAGGATAAGAAGAAGAAGTCGAGCTCGTAATGGGTCGTACCATCGGAGGGCGTACAATGTCAATTGACTATTCCTGAGTGTCATTTCTCACAGTCGTTATTCCCACGCAACCCCCTCAAGCTCAACGCCCTTTGTTCCTGCCAGGTACGCCATGAAGACATCTTCAACGCCAGAGTAAAACAATAAAGGTACCCGACGAACCATCATCTAGGGGGTGGACATCTATGCTCTCTTCCGCAACACCCTGGTTGACCCTGCTGTGGACGCTGGTGCTGACTTTGGAGCTGCTGGTTTTCTGGTCGTCGCGGCGCCAACACCCTTCCTGATTGCACCCATGACCGTCCGTTTCGTAGTGGTGGGCGCCGCAGCCGCCGTCTTTTTGACAACAGTTCCCGTGCTACCCTCGCTGGAGTCGCTCACTCGCTTGCCTGTCCGCGTCGCCGGTCGAGATGGTGCTTTGGCCGCTGTTGTCGTGTTGGCCCGCTTGGTTCGTGTAGTCGCAGGAGCTGACGCGTTTACAGGGGCCGATGCGTTCGAGCTGTTCGTAGAGGATGCCAACGCCCGCTGGGCGGCTGGGCGGCTGGTCTTTTTTGCCTTTTCTACCATGTTAGACAGTGCTGAACGAGCACTATTGTGCTGCTTGACTGGAGATGACGGTGGTCGGCCAACATGAGATTTCGATGGAGACGATAGAGGTCGGTCACGGATCAGGGATCGAGTATTGAACGATGTTGGCGACAGAATCTGAGATGAGCTCAAAGCAGTCGCGGAAGGGCCTGCCCGGTGCTTCTTTTTGGGGTTTACGATCCGCTCATTCTCCTTATCTCCGCCTGTCATGGCATCGCTGTTTGCATGGTTTAGCGTACATCAATCAGCACAGCCGAAGAATGAAAAACCAACCTCAATCGCTTTGTGGATCGCGCTGGAAGGGCGAGCTTCTGGGGACTTGACCGTGGAGGGAAGTCCTTCTCTGGCACTGGAGGTGGGCGCGAAGATGCTTCAAGACGCTTTTGCTGTTCGGCGGCTCTAGCTACCAAGTCGGCCATGGTCATCTTCAGCATAGATCGGGGTACGCGATTGACACGCATCTGAATGCGTGATCGCAGAGTCTGGGCCTGCTGGTTGTACTGTGCGCGTAGTCTTCTGGCGCGATCCGTGACTGTTTATGCCGTTAAACACGCGCTCATTGACTTGTCATTGGAGTCTTGAACATACTTTCCAGTTGCAAGTTGTCAATAATCGCCTGCTTCTGTTCCAGCGTGATTCCAAGCCTCTGCCTCTTGCTTGGACTGCTGCTCAACATAGGGGGGGTGCCCGTTTTGGTAGGTATCGTCTGTTTTTGCATTGTAGTAGACTGATCAATATCGTCTGAGGATCTCTTCTTTGATCGTGCGGGAGGCATATTGGTAGTATGTGCGCGAGAAGGTTTTGCGCGATGGTAGTAGGCGATGAGATAACAGCCCGGTCGCGACGAAAGCGTGGGAGATGCTGAGCTAAAGATGACGGGGGCGGAAGCCGTGTTGTGAGTGGCTAGCGCTCCGGGAAGTAAACAAACTCAACAGGTAGCGTCTTACATAATCGTACCCGGACGGGACTCCCTTAGTGGTGCCGGGATATTCTGGCCTGTTGTGGTGGTTGTCACCCTGTGTAGATCCCTCCTTCGATGCTTGCCGACAGCGACGACCAACTTCGACAAGTGTTTAGGTGATGTATGAAGGACTCATTTGTCTATAGCATAAACGAAGGCTTACACTACGTATTTGGGATTTCAATTTGCGAGTGTTGGCGAGGCTTTGAGGGGGTATCAGCGGTATTGATGGGAAAGCCCCTGTAGAAGAGGACTTTCGCACATGAGGGTGAACGGGGTTTTGACAGCACTGACGACCAATCTGGGTGCTTGGTGTCTAGGTCGGTAGTGTTGCTATGTTTCGAGCCAGGTACTTGTAAGAAAGGCAAGCCAGCTGCACCTTCCAGGTACCCAGTACATGGACGCAACCAGTATCGCCAGGCTGAACTGCCTTACGCAGGAGCTCTCCCACCCGCCCACCTTACACCAAGCTCGCCCTCAGCCATCCAAAGCTGCACCATTCACCAACACATTCACCACAACACTTTTTCACAAGTTTTCCCACCGTCTCGAATCTGTCGGTCGCCACGACTTGATCCTTCAAATCCCTCCGTACACCATCTTCATTTGATAGCCGGCTATTCGCACCACCGTCAAGATGGTCCTGGAAGCGGTGATGGTCGTCGTTGACAACAGCGAAAGCAGTCGCAACGGGGACTACCAGCCCACAAGATTCGATTCCCAAGCCGACGCCGTCAATGTAATTTTTCAGACAATCACCAACGGCAACCCCGAATCCTCTGTCGGCCTCATGAGCATGGGGGGCAAGGGACCCGAGGTGTTGGTCACTCTCACGACAGACCAGGGCAAGATCCTCGACGGCTTGCACCGCACCAAGACCAAGATCAAGGGCTCATCACACCTCGCAACGGGCATCCAAGTCGCTGGTGTAAGTGCATCTGAATGATTCACCTTCTCAATGCTCTGACCCGGCCTTTCCCCGCTAACCTCCGTGCCTCTTGCAGCTCGCCCTCAAGCACCGTCAGAACAAGTCCCAACGGCAACGGATAATCGTCTTCGTTTGCTCGCCTATCGAGGAGGAAGAGAAGAAGCTGGTGCAGTTGGCGAAGAAGATGAAGAAGGGCAACATCTCGGTCGATTTCGTGCTCTTCGGTGACCTCGACGATGACGACACCCAGAAGAAGCTGCAAGCATTCAACGAAAGTGTCAAGGGTGGCGAAGGTTCCCACCTTGTCGTCATCCCCCCAAGCAGCAAGTTGCTCAGCGACCAGCTCATCTCTAGCCCTATCCTGCTGGGTGACGCCGCAGGTGGTAGTGGTAGCGGTGGTATGGAGAGCGGCGGAGGCGGAAACTTTGGAGAGTTCGACTTCGATCCGGCTATGGACCCGGAACTTGCCCTCGCCCTGCGTATGAGTATGGAGGACGAGAAGGCAAGACAGGAGAAGAAGGCGCGCGAGGAGGCCGATGCGGCGGGCAAGGGATCACTGGATGATATCAAGGAGGAAGGCGAGAATGCCCCCCTGCTCAACAAGGACGGAGGCGAGTCGAGCAAGAAGAACGACAAGAAAGACGATGACAGGATGGATACCTCGTAATCGGAACTGAAGCCTCCCTGATCGATGGTTTGTTTGCGTCATCACCATGAGTGTGTAAAATAGAATATTGGCTTGGTCCTAGAGGCATATGCTGCTCAATAGAAGGTCCTGGTACTCCGCAAACGCCATTACATGAAAATTCCCTTCCCGGTTCAAGAACGAAAAGCTCATAACCCTCGTCACACAAGCCGCCTGTCTAGTCACAATCTATCGATTGTTGATCTCTCTAATGTATGATAGGAGCTTCCGCTCAAACATCTCGCAACGAATAGGCATCTCCAGCTGGTAAAAGGGGTTCTTCATGACGTAGTCGCTGTAGAGATCGTATATCCTTCGTAGTATCACATCAATGTTGGTTTGCGTTGTGTCGGTGAAGAGCAGGAACTTGGTGCCCGTCATGGTAGTGAAACACTGCAACCTGAAGTTCTCCGTCTCCATGACTTCGAGCCCTGACGGCGGCTCCGGGCGGCTGGGAATTCCTCCCGCTGCTGCTGTAGCAGCTGCGGCTGCTGCCTGCTGGTTCTTCAGGGGGTGAAGCCTGGCGGTGATGGCATGGATGCTGTAGCCATGTCAGCTTCATTGGGGTAGATGGATGTTGCCTGGCCCTGCTCACCCGTGGAAGGTGCCTGCAAGCACAAGATAGTCATTTGTGCTTAGCTGGTTGAGGCCGCCATCGTGGAAGGTTCGGTTGTAAATCAAACCGCCTGCTTTGTTGATGACGATGAGCGCGAATACGGTCCTGTGTCTAGGTCAGTCAACTCCTCCAGGACACGACGCGGGACGGCACGTACATGACTATCGGTCCGATCAGCTCACAGCTGGCGACTCTTCTGATGAAATGAGGTTTCTGATCTGGCCTCTTCTCATCGATGTTGATCTATCTCACTTTTCGCCAATCCCGTGGTCAACTCGACACCTCAGTTGGCCTCTGCTAAGGTGGCTACTGCCACACAGCGGCCACCCACTACAGCCACACCCAAGAATTGGCATTCACCCCTGCGGCCGCGGCTGCACTAGCCCCGAAGGCCGGTGGACCAAACCGAAAGCAAGCAACACACATGGAGCACTACTCCGACTACCTGCCAGTGGAGTCATTCTTAACTCTCATCAAGCCTTCAGCCTCACGCAATCACACTACACGCTATAGCCAATGCTTCCGCGCCGACGTTTCTGATTCTACGACATACTAATTTCGAACGTTTATCCCGTCACCGCCCGCAGCATTGCCCACTATACGCGTCTCTTCCCGCCTGTGGTCGCGATCGACGATTAAGCCAAACACCACCATCCTCACGATACGCCCAACATGTCCCATCACGCACCCACGTCGCGCCCGAAGCCTCCGCCGCCCGGCAGCGAGGAAGCGTCGAGCGTTCTGAACCTCGGCGAATTCCAACACGTGGACACTCTCACGCTGTCAGAAGCTTCCCTTGTCATCAATGCGCTGGTTGCCAAGCGGAAGATGGATCGCAAGAACATCAACGAGACCGAGTGAGCAATGCGCCTGCCGTTCAGCACGGCCTTTCCGTCCATCGAAACACCGAATTGGGCCTTGAGATAATGCAATCACTAATGCGCTTGCCAGGATGCTGACCCAGACTTTGAACTACCTCGATGCCTTTTCCCGTTTCCGTCAAAAGGAGAACGTGGAAGCCGTTGAGCGACTGCTGAGCGCCCACAAGCAGCTGGCCAAATTTGAGCGGGCGCAAATAGGTACGCAAAATGTCCCGTCATCGTGCGCCATGGACAGCCTCCCGACTTACCATTCTTGCAGGCTCGCTGTGCTGCGAAACCGCCGAGGAGGCCAAGACCCTTATCCCGTCCCTCCAGGACAAGATCAGCGATGACGACCTGCAAATACTCCTCGACGAGATTAGCAAGCTACAGAGCAGATGACGCACTAGTAGCGACCGCACTACCAATCCCGGATTGCTGTGGCCTTGGAGCAATGAATGGCCCGGCCAGTAAGGCACGCGACTCGGGACTAGACACTTTGTCTGCTTCGCCCTGGTAGAGACGTCCAGAGACACGGACGCGAGAGAGGAGAGGAAGATGATCAAATGGCGGGGAAAGAATAAATGAAATTGGGACAGGACCAGGAATTTTTTTCGCATAAGAAAACCATGCTGCATTTGTTTTGGCGTAAACTGGAGGGGACCAGATTGTTTCAGTACGTACGTGTCGAATACCTAAATACCCTACGATTTGACCAGTCATGAGCACACGCGCGCATTCGCCTTGCTGGATGCCACGAGCTATGTTTACTCTCGCGCAGTATGCGCAGGCGACGATGAAAAGGTACGCGTTTTACGACTAGAGACGATCGATTATTAGTAGGCCTACTTAAGGACCCTGCGAGGCTGGTCTCCTGGCTAGCTTAGTTCCCAAACTGATTCCTCAAACTTCATCTGCGAATTGACTCTGACAAAAACCGGCCCGCCCAGGCGAGTGAGTAAGAAAAGCAATTCCTGGGTATCGTTAACGCCGGCAAAATTCCAAACCATGCTTACCCCTGACAGGCCGTCAACGTCGTTAGCCCCCGTCTTAGTGATGGGCGTCCTCGTGCCTTTGCTCAGGCAGTTGACTCCCACTCTTTCCAGCTGTTCACGTACGTCTTGCGAGATCGCTCCTCCTTTGTAGCATTCAACGTACCCGTAAGGTAGCTGGGCGTAGTCTCAGCAACCGGATACAGGTTTGTTGCGTTGGGACGGTAGGGCTTGTATTTCTGGATACCACTGCGGCTGCTGTGGATCTCGACGACCTTGGGGAGTCCCGGAGAAGCCAACTCGGCAATGGCTGCCTGCTGCGGGGGGCCTTGGAGCTCAGGGGTTGCTGTGCCCAGACGAGACACGAAGTCAGGGCTGGCGGTAACGGATCTAGCAACAACCGCAGACGCTGGAGGTGCAGGAGCTGGGAGAGAGGCAGTCTCACGAGACATGGGGCTGACGGGGTGATTCATCATTCTGCTGTTGGAGCTCATGTCGCTGACCCGGTTGAAACGACTCTGGGGCTCTTCGTATCGTCCTGCGAGGTGTCAGTCAAGGAACTTGAACGTCATCAATATCAAAAACCTACCTCCGAAAGATGCAAAGACGTCCTCAGGCCTGGTCGCATCACTGGTCTCGTTCGCGTGGCTTCCTTGATGGGGTCCATCAGGCTGTGAGGGGCTGGCCGGCTCGGTATGACCATCCTCCTCGGTAGCACCGCCGCCCTCGATTCCATGCTTGTCGAGGGAGTCGATGGAATCCTTATTTCTCAGCTTCCTTCTCTGCTTGCCGCACATGAAGTAGAGAACGATAACGATCAGCACGATTGCAGCAGCACCAGCAATGATACCACCCTTGGCAGCAGCTGATAGCTGGGAATTCGACTCTTTGGTTGCAAGTGCGGTAGCTGAAATGACTGGGACAGAGGCCTGAGTGGCGGTGATGCTGGGATTCGCGGTGACGATTGTGGGTGAAGGCAGAGTCAGGCTGTCAGAGAAGTAACCACCTCCAGTAGTTGGCTGGATATTGAAATAGGTAGTGACGCCGACTTGCTTCTCGGGCAGGGTCTTCGCTGGAATGATGGGGGTCGACGAGGCCAAGACGGGCGGGGCGACAGCTGCGATGGTCGTCGTCTTCTTGTCGGTGACTTCACCACTGCGCGTGCAGACTTTGCTGCCGCAAGGGCTGGAGGTGCAGCAACCCTTGAAACCGCCAGGGCATTCAAAGAGATCCTCCCCGGCCAGGCAGGCGTTGCGCACGTCGCGTGCCTTTTGCTGGGCCTGAGGCGGCGAAGTGAGGGCAAGCCGCATGTTGGTTGCTGCTGTTCTTGTGAATGGAGGTGAGCGAATAGTTACAAGTAACGAGAAGAAATTGATGTTGGTAAAAGTATGAGAACACCTCGTGCCACCATCACAGAGCGACGGTAGCGAAGTGGAAATGGGTGAAGTGGTGATGGATCCAAGTTACCTGGGCCAAAAGAGTGCCGATCGGGTTGCCAACGTGTTGGAAAAAGCCGCCCAGGCGTGATTCAACAGCGCCTGGAGGCCGCTTAGCTGGATTTTTTTTCAGGTGGGTAGCAAAATGGAAGGGGTCAGGCGCGCAGAAGGGGAGGATTGAACGGCGGTAGGTTGGTGTCGTCACCCAGGTATGAAAGGAAGGCACGATGGGATAGTGTCACTTGCCCCTTACCTACCTTCCCTGACTGAAGGAGTCCTTGTCCAGCTTGTGCTTCTTATCGTCCTAGGTAGGAACTGTCCACCCTCGGCCGCGATTTGACAATCACATCAGACCCGATTGATCATTCGCCGCCTCGTATATTCACTTGTTCACCTCGAGTATTCACTGGCCATGCCTCTGCTTCCTCATCGCCTCCATTTGGGGAACCTGTGCCAAGATAGGACGGATCATTGGGTCAACACTGCAAGAATCACACTGTGGTTTTCGTCCCGTCTATAGCGGTTTGAACGCTGGATTTCATGCTCATGGCGTTGACGTTGACGATGTTGGCCCTCTCACTTGGCCGTGTTCAGAGTAAGAAATATGTTTGTTGCCGGATCAATGCTTTTGTGGTTGACGAGGTCAACTCGCTACAACATTCAACGACGTAAGGGCGGTAGTCGTGGACGGAAACAGACTGTAGGACAAACTTGGAGGCTAAATGCACCACGCCCGTTGCGTCCTCTACGTCTCGAGATACCTGAGACACTGTCCGAAGCCACGAAGTTTGCCAGCATCTGGACCCCGTTGTCTTCGCCGGCCTTAGATGTGAGTCAGGCGATCTCAAGTTGTTAGCCAACTGCAACGCTGCGGGAACTGAGACATTCAATGATCAAAGATGATAACCACCAAACTCCTTCTATTGATGCCACCCAGCTATGGGAACCTCTTGGACGCCGTCCGCACACCGAGTCGCCGCACTGCCGTATGCGTGCGAGTACTGAACAACATTAATAACTTTTGGTTTCTCTTTTGCTCCGCAAACCCTTTCGCATTCAACCTCGCCTAGAGCTTCTCCAACAAGAGCTTGCTGCCGAGATTACCGACAGGCCTGTCACCACCTTTCTTGCCCTTCTTTGCTCCCTTCTCGCTCTTCTCGGCCTCCTTCTGGGCCCTGGCCTCCCGGTCCGCCTTTTGCTCCGCAGACTCCTCCGTTGCGGCCCTCTGGAGGTCCTTCTTGTGGGCCTTCAGCATCTTCTTCAACTCGGAGGCGTGGCTGAAGTCCTCGGCCTCAAGCATGTTGAGAACAACAAAGGAACTCGGCCCCGTGGCCCAATCAAGAATGCAATCCTTGATCACCGGGTATAAGATATCGGAAAACTTCAATGGTGGATCAATAGCCTCGACTTTACCGGTCTCTTTGTTGAACTTGCCACCAGCGATCAAAGTCTTGATCAGACGACCTCCAAATGGTGTGCGGGAGACATGGACCGGGGTAACAATGCCATCCTCCTCCATGGGCTCCGCGCTGGGATCACCCGCGGCAACAGCCGCAACAGCCTCGAGGGCCTTCGTCTTATCGCCCTCGGCAGATAGCAGTACGTCAGCAACAAGTTGGCAACCAAAGGGGTCTGCAACTAATGTCTGTGCTGAGGACACCACGGCCTCAATGAGAGCCGGAGAAATGGCAACCACCAACTCCTTTCTCCTCATATCGGCATCCTTCTTACTGGTGGTCTGGCGAATCTCGTGCACCTCCTTCAGAATTGCAAGATCCTCGTTCATGCTAGCAGGGAAGATTGCTCTGGACTGGCCCTCAAGCAGATACAAGAGCGTCGCCCTAGCAAAGGGGTTTGTCGTGGAAACGATGATGTTTTCCGTCGCTCTGTCCTTGTCATCGCCAATCAGCTCAGGAAAGATAGCCTTCTGTGTCATTTTCGTGTCATCGATAACATCGAAGGCAGTCAGAATCACGATGTGAGCAAAGGGGTCACCCGACATAAGGACAAAGTTATCCTTGAAAGCCTTCAGTAGGTTCCTACGGTCCTTGGATGAGCCGTGGGCCAAGAGAAGAGCCACCAGTCTAGATCCCGAGCGAGTAAATGCCATGTTTTTCAACAGGTCACCAGTCTCGTCGTCCTTGATCATCTCGAGGAACATGGTAAAATCATCGGTGCCGGGCTTGATGTTCAGGAAGTATTGCAGCATAGCGTCGTGCAGCATAGTGAAGCCCGTCATCTTCTTCTGCACCAAAGAGTTGATCATGTCGTGGAGACTTTTCAAGATGGGACCGCGCTTGCTAGATTTCTCCTCGAGAATCTCGGACAGATCAGATGTCGGCTTCTCATCCTTATTGCGCTCCAGCAAAGCGAATTCTGGGCCGTACCATTCTCTCAGGATGATGGCCTTCTGCTCCTTCGTAGCGATTTGACGGTAGATGTCGTCCAGGATCCAAGAGGCCTCAGGGTGATTGATCAGCTTCCGCACCTTGCCGTAAAACTCTGGAACGATAATCTCCTTGATCTCAGCGTCGGCCTGCACGATCAGCTTGGCGATAAGGAACTTGGCGTATCTGCTCTCGGCGAGCTGGGCGTACGTTCCCTGTAGCTCCTTCGTGATCTGTTTCCTTTGCGCGGCTGTCGCGTACTTGATCGCAGTCTGAACAGCACGGGTCGCGTCGTGCTTCAAGACAAACTCTTTAATCCGTCCAGTGATGATGCTGAAGAGCTCATCGACGAGTTGCTTCCTCTCCTCAGAGGGCACGTGGGACTTCCTCCTCAATCGCTCCCAAATCTTCTTGGTTCGTTGTACTTCATCGGCCAGGGGCTTCGCGGCCTTGCGCTCAAGGGCGAGTTTCTTCTGGATGGCATGGGACTCCTTCGAAGTTTGTCCTGTGTGATGTTTGTAAGTACAAGTCGCAATCGCAGAGGTCCCGACTTATGTGGCCTACCTTTCTCAAACTGCTTGCTCTTGTCGAAGTTGGCGCCTTCCTTCTTGCTATTCGCCTGAGCCTGCTTCGCCCTCTCGCGGGGGTTGAGCTTGACTCCGCCATCGTCAGAGTCTGAAGACTCTGCAGCATCCTCCATCTCGTCGTCCTCGGGGGTCTCAACGGGCGCAGCCTTCTTCTCGAACTTGGTCTTTTTCGATTTGCTGTCAGAGGCGCCCTTGGAAGCGGGAGCAGTCTTGCGCTTGCTGCCTGCCTTGACACCGTTGGCAGCCATTGTGTTGTGCGAGTGTTGTGCTGGGAACAGAAGCAATCGCAAAGTATGAGCTCTCTGTCTCGGAAAACAATGGGACGGATGGGCTGGCGGATGGTGCTTACAGCGCCCATCAAAGTGCTGGAAATCTGAAATTTTTATTTGAATTGCCGGGCGGTCAGCACTGCGCTAAGCTCAAGTCAATCATCAACCCCACTACCATGCATGTACGTACCTCCACTAAGAAAGCAGCTTCGTGCTACTACTAACTGTTATCGTACCTCTCAAAGACGTAACATTGCCAACTGTGCGCCAGGTCACCTCGATCCCTCCCCAGAAACATCCATAGACTGATCCTTGGTTGCAGCATAAATCATGGGTCGCGAAGAGCAGGTCGAAGAGCGCGAGGTGCTCGATTCCATCTTTCCAGATGAGATCACAGGTTCGATTACCCCACCATTGAGCATGGCACATTCGCCGCACATGTCGCTAAACCTAGGTGCCAGATGTCTCGGAGACCGAATACAGAATATCAATCGCCCTTGATGTCCTCGGCGACGAAGAGCCGCCCACCATGCTCTTGCAGGTGCGATATCCAGAAGCCTACCCCGATGAGGCGCCGATGCTCGACCTGCAGTCCACTCCCAACGCAGCCCCGCACGAGTGGTTCAACGTCTCACAAGACAAGGAGCGCCTTCTCCGAGGACTGGAAGAGACGATACAGGAGAACCTCGGCATGGCAATGGTCTTTACCCTAGTCACGACCTTGAAGGAAGCTGCCGAGAACCTCGTCGAGGAGCGCAAGCAGGCCAAGGACAAGGAGCACGAAGAGGCTGTCCTCGCCGCCGAGCGCGAGGAAAACAAGAAGTTCCAGGGCACCCCAGTGACGCCTGAGACCTTCCTCAAGTGGCGTGCCGATTTCATCAAGGAGATGGAGGAACTACGGCAGAAGGAAGATGAGGAGCGTCTCGCGGAGCTGAAGAAGGCCAAGGTCAAGGAGCCAGTGAAGCTGACAGGGAAGCAGCTTTGGGAGCGTGGTCTGGCCGGCAAGGTTGATGACGATGACGATGAGGGCGGTTTGATTGAGAGTGTCGAAAAGCTCAAGGTGGAAGCTGCGTGAGGGGGCACGTCTGTTCCTACAGATGGGGGGAGGGTGCATTACACTGGCGTTTTGGGTTCATAGTGTGGGATCTAAGGAGGACTGAAGCGGTTCGGGTAGTAGACCTCATCTATGTGCCTCATTGAAGATTTTTCTCTAGAAAAGGAGTAGACACGATCCTATCAATGTCATTTTCGTTGCCAGACTCCAAACGCCGCACTTTGATATCCCTCGTTCCCCAGGTATCTATCTAATCATTGACTTCTGTGTAGAGCGACGTTTTCGTAGTTTACTCTTCCATAGCCTCATCGCCATCGCTGACAGCATCCTCCCAACCGTCATCATCTTCCTCGTCTGCCGGGGGGTCGCCTAGCTCCTTGTTGATTGCGGCGAACAACTCTTTGGCGTGTTCACCCAGACGCTCATCCTCATAATCCTGAGCGGCGTACAGGTTCATGCAACGCATCAGCCAGCGACGCGAGGTGCTCCATGTGACTTTCCATTCCTCCTCGTCCTTGCTCTCCAGCTTCTTTTCTCTCTGCTTCTCGCCGAAGATAAAGAGTGCCCAGCCGCCAAGGTACCAGGCCTCGACACTTTGATCGTCGTCACCGACGAGCCTCTCCAGCACATCAATGGCTTCCTGTTCCATTTCCACCTCGAGTAGCAAACGCACCAAACTAATGCGCGTGGAGAAGTCGGGCACGTTGGGGTCCAGGGGGTGCAAGTCAGTCCACAGCTCCAGACTCCGCTTCAGAGCCTCCTTCGCTTCGTCCGTTTTTTCCTGGGATATCCGCACATTGGCAACAGTCTGCCATGTTTCCGCCAGATCGGGTGCCACCAACAGCGCCTCTGTGACGAGCGCTTCGCACTTCTGCTCCGCATCGGCCTCCCATGATAAATCCGTCATGTACACTTCAGCAACGGCACATAGTGTTCCGCCCAGCTTCTTCTTCTTCTCCTCGAGCTGCGCCTCCTGTTCCTCGTTGCGCTTCGGTAGGTCCACCAACGTCTGAATCTGGCCCCTGAGCGACGATGCTCCACGCTCGAACCACTTCACGCTGTCCTGGCCGCCGTCTTCGCTGAGTTGCGCCAGCCAGAGAAACTTCTCGGGTCCGCCGCCTATGCGCTCATCCAGAGAACCGTCTTGATCGAGCTCAACGGCCTTTATGAAATAGGCTCTCGCATCGTCAATCTCGCCCATCTCAATGCTGATCTGTCCCAGAAGATTGATGGCCGCCAGCTCATAGTCTCCACCCGAGCCGGTGCCATCGAGCGCTTTCTTTCCAGCCGCGACTGCTTTCTCAAGATCGCCTTCTTGGAGCTTTGCGACTGCCTCGGCGAGGAGTAGTCCGGGGTTGACAGGCTTCTTTTCGATTCTCTTCTTCGACTTTTTGTTTGGGCGAGTTGGCGCCATTTTTTGGTATTGTTGTTCTCTTGGACCGAGTCAATGAAATTGAAGGAGGGGATACGACGTGTTCAAGTGTCTAGGATCAAAGAAAGAAATCGTGTGAATGATGGATGAGAAGTGAGTTGAGCGAGCATGCATTGGGGCTGGTGGTGGGTTCCAACTGGGCCTGTCGAAAAATTCTTATCACACAATCTTATCGATAGCAAGTGGGATGGCAAGCTAAGTAAGTAACCAACCATGCTACACCGAAGCTTCACCGGTGACCGACGTTGACATTATTACCTCATCTCAAATGAAATACTTTTGTTCACAGAGTTCTGGCCAGCAGAAATCACCGAAAGCCGCGGCTTCACTTCCTGGATTTTCAGATCAAGACATGGGTCAGACAGCTTATTCAGCTGGTAGATGCTAATTGCAGGGTGTTCGCGTTAGCAACTATGAGGGTTCTGAAAAGTGCACACCCATCCGATACATCCTTGCCATGCGACACGCCCTGCTCCCATGACCGTTCAAGATTGAGTTGCCCAGGACACAAGCGATTATTGAGCTATTTCATTGGGACTATTGACCTTCGCAAGGAAGCCTAATGACTAGATACAGTTCTCACCTAAGCCCTCCCAAGTTGTCTGAGAAATATTTCAAGCACAACATCCGCCCGCCCAATACATACCAGCCTGGTCCAGATTTTTATGACGCCGTCGCTTGAAATCATGTAAACCGGACTCCTTTCCCAACCCACATTCATTTTGCTCAGTAACCAGCGGTTTGCAGTATTCCGCCGGTGTGGATCTATATATCGTGTGTACTAACTGAGTGATCCCTGTGTTGAAGAAAATAATTAAAGAACTAAAGCAAGAAATGCACAGTGGAGTGAGATGTACTGCTAACGAGCCCGTCCTTCCGCTGATGAGCTCCGGCTCGAAGGGCCTCGTTCATCGACGAGCTCTGCCGAGGTGCCGAGGAGATCGACCTGCTGGTCCAACCCAGGGTCCACTCGACTGATGCTGTGTTGTGCAACCACACCGTAACTTGTTGGTCGCTCCGTGCTTGGCGTTCTACGAATATTGAATTCTTCCATGGATGATCCGTTGGATGAAAGACGTTTCTGGTGAGAATTTGAACGCTCAAAAGGAAGACGACCGGGGTTTGGAGATGAGGCTAAGCTGCCCGGCGTATGCATCTTGCCATCAGACGGACCTGATAGAGGCCCCGTGGGTGACGTTGGCGGGATCAGGTTGAACGATGGCGTGGGTGAGTGTCCACGGAGCACGGCCGAATCCCTTTTCGAGCTTTTTCTTGGAATTTCAGGAATGTCTGATTCCGTTGACTGGCGCCTGTGTTTCTGAGACGCCTGTCGGCTTGCCTTGGACGCCACTCGACTTGGGAGCTTGAAACTGCCCGAACTCGCGATCCCGGGAAGCATAGGCGGTGCGTCAGAAACCTTCGGAATGCTAACCGTCTCGATTTCCGAGTCCGATGACACAACTGAAACCCCATCATCGTTGAGTAGGTTGTCCGAATTTTCGGCATTCTCCACGTTATCGGCATGCTTCTGAGTCGCCTTGTTCTTGGGTTCGTCGTCATCTGACTCGATCGGCCCGTTCCTGAGGACGCCCATGGCCACAGGTATACCTTCCGGCGGAGGTTCAGCCTCGTACTCTGCATCGGCTGCTGCGCGCATAGCAGGTGGCATCCTTGAGCTACGTACGACCTCAAAACCTTTGCCCTTCTCCTTGGTTTTGCCTCCAAAGAAATTGCGGAACCACCCAGCAGCCGAGGACATCGGACCAGTAGGGTCGGCTGGACCGGTTCCAAGCTTGCGGCCCACCCCTTCCGAATTCAGCGCCGGGCCTCTGACGCCGTAGTAAAAGTCGACCTCCCTCGTCGAATAGTCTGCCCTCGGCGTCAAGTTAATAGCCTGAGGGGCCGGTGTAGGTCCTCTTGAAAGCTGGGCCTCAAGATCCGCAGTCGCATCCCCTAGATGTGTGCCTGCTTGGCTATACCGACGCGACTCAGCCACTGAATGCCGGTTCAGCGAGGTGGATGAGCCATTGAGTGTATCTCCGCGACGTCGCGGAGGCCGGTAATAAGGGTCAGCGGATTCCACCGTCACGGCAGCTGGTGGCCGGGTTGCAGCAGCAGGTGACGGTAAAAATGAGAAGGTGCTGACTTCACCCGGAGTTGTCGGAGTAAAATTGCTGCCACTGTCGAAGTTCCGAACCTGTCCGGTGTAGGGATCGATGCTGTCAAGGGCGGAAGAGCTGCGGTGCTGGCTTCTGAGTAGAAATCCACTGCCTGCCGACTCACTCCTTAGCCTACCCCCACGCATCACATAGCCAGTCTTCGACGCTTCGTCTGCGTCAAGCATGCCGGTAGTTGACAGTTGACTTGCTCGGGAAGGCCCATTGTTTCGTCGAGAAGTGCGCCGCTGCAACTGCCGCATACCGAAAATCTTGGATAAGCCGCCTCGCTGTAAACCCCGGGTATCATCACCGCCAGCACCAAGAAGTCGTGCGGTGACTTCGATAATTGTCTGGAGGGCGTTGAGCATAAATCCTAGAACCAAAACACACGCGTGGATGAGCAAGATGGTGTACCCAATCCACCCCTTTGGCCCTTCTGTCACCCCCATTTGAGGAACGAACGCTACCATCAGCATAACGGTAGCGAAACGAAGAACGGAGAAAAGGGTGTGGTATGCATTCATCGATGTTGGAGATTGGAAAGGACGAAATGCGTGGAGGGTCAAAATGTAGATGACCTCGCATATAGCAAGAATGACGATCTGCGCAATGCCGACTGGCTGCACAGCCCCGATAGTGATGCCACGAATGAACGTCAGAATAACCGGTATCAGTGCAAATGCCGCAGCTTCGTCTGAGTATGTGTTGTAGAGAGGTCCGTAAAGGAGTACCGTAGGCAGATCGTCAAACAGAACTGCTCTCGGCCGGGTCTTGAAAATCAAGTACAGCAGCCACGCGGCGAAGCAGATCAAGATGATTAAAGTGATGACAGCCAACGCAACGGCAAATTCTTGGGACTGGCCGGCGACAACGAGCTGGAACGTCGAGAGGGCGACAATTGGTAGTAGCAGGTAGTTGAATACGACCCGGACGATATTGCCGACTGAGAACGGAATGTTCTTGGCGCGGAGATCCTCCTCGGGAGTGTTGCTGATAAGTCGAAATACCCAACGGAAGAAGAAGCCAAGCTGAATCAGAACAAAAAGGGCTCCTACAATGACGCATACCCAAACCATTGTACCGGCCCAGATGTCCTCGACATCGGACATACCAATCATTTGTGCATATCGGTGAAGTCCATATGTGGCATTCGTCACATAGATACCATCCTGGATCGCCTGCCAGCCTGGCGATTTGCTCACGAAACTTTCGTTGAACATCAGTGCCGACCAGCCTACCTGGCTTACAACTGGCTGGTAGAATCCGGGATAGTTAATAGACAAGCCACCAGTAAGCGCAACAAACTGAATGTACTGAAGACAATCCCCGAAACCCGGTGTCACCAAGCGCAACAAATCCTCGTCTCGGCCGTAGTTTGTCGTCCAGTGGAAAATATCTGTCGAGCCCCAGGGGCTAAAGACGGATGCGAACATGGTTGCAAACCCGACGAAGAGGAGAACGACGAGTGGCAGGTAGCGCAAAAGTGCTGAAAGGCTGCCTAGATCAGGGGTTACGATTGCCGATACGCAGCTGATCTGCGTGGCGGCTGTGTTGCCGTACAGGACTAGAAACGTCGAAGCGAACGACGAAAAGGCGTAAGAAGAGTTAAAGTCCTGAGTCAGGTTTACCGACGGCAAGTTACCCCACGGGCTCTCGCTGATGTCTAGTTAGCTTGGTTGGAAATTGACATACACGAAGGCAGCTTACACAGTCTTAAAGACAGGGGCCAGGGGGCAGGACCCGTTGACAAGACTGTCGTTACAGAACGCGCTTCTGTTGTAGAATGGCTGATAGCTTAACACGTTTACCCTGGTCTGAAGAGTCGTGAGATTTTTTTCGTCGGGTCTTTCAAGTATTTTGCCAAATGTACTTGAGGGGTCATTCCACGAGGGGTCATTTGGACTAGGGACTGTGTCGTTAGTCTTGACAGTATACGAGCCTGTGACATTTCCCCAGACAATTATTTGAAGATTGTGCGCGGGATCTTGGTTGTCGAACCGAGCGTCAACATAGAGGGCGTTCCATTGCAGATTAGGGACGCCAGTCTCGGTCTCGGCCTGTGTGTAGGAGCTGTCAAGACAGTTGTCGAAAGGGATCAAGACGGCGGCGGCTGGTTGAATAAGTAGGCAGGCAAAAGTGATGAGAAGCATGCCAAGAATGCTAGAGGCGGCGCTGGGGAAGCTTGAGTGCGGCGGTCGTGGCCGTGGTCGCCGACGGCCCGAGTCCATGGCGGAAAGGGATGGAAGATATCGGTGTTCTCGGGAAAACGAGCGAGCAGTCTGATTCGAGGTCGGCAGCGGACGTGAAGATGTCATAGCCTGGAGTGGTAGCGAAGGGGCGAGTTTTCCGTGTCCATAGCAAGGAGAGGCTTCATGTCTTGGTGCACGAGGAGCGTCTGGCTGGTGTTGTGGAGGGGCTTTGCGATGGGTTCGCATGTTTCGAACCAGCTTATGAAGTCGCAATGGACGAGTGTTGTTGACGCTGAAGCCGGATGGGACAGAATGGACGACAGGCACACACAGGAAAGAAGAGAAGAGAAACACAAGATTGTGTTCTAGAATCTCGGCATCTTGGGGCCCCGCTGTAGTCGCCTCGCCTCGCCTGGCCTCCAGTCTTGTAGGTATGTTCGGTTCGTTCGCTCGACGCAGTTGAGCTTTGGGATCGACCGTACTGTTCGGTTCGCAGAGTTGACAATTCTGGATGGATGGAGAAGTCGTTTAGATGGGGTGTCGGAGAAACAGCGTAAGGTGAGAGAAGAGGAATCCGAGGAGGGGCGAGCGAGAGAGAAACGGCAGACGGGTGTGTGAGAGTGTCTGACTGAGTAAAGCGAGGTGTGGTGGTGGTGGTGCAGACGCAAGCACAGCCAGGAAAGATTGGACGGGATGATGTTGCGCGGGTACGAATAGGTAAGGTACCTTAGGTTAGGTAGGTGGGTGGGCGAGATGCAAGGAAGGCAGACGGGCAAAAGATGGGTAAAGGTAGGGGAATGGGAAGACAGCAGCTAAGGTAGGTAACAAAAAGTATCCCCATGCCCATCCCCTGCCAATGCCAATGCCAACGCCAATGCCAGGGTGCCGTGTGCTGTGCTGCCAGGCGTGTGTTGTGCTGTGCACCGCAGCACCAGCTAACGTAAGGTAAGGTAAGGTACCTACGAACACCTAGCGAGTAGCGGATCGTTGGCCCAGAAAGTTGCGTCGCGGAAACGAAACCACTCCAAGGCCCCCCCAGTGGCTGAGCATCCCATCCCGTCCACACCAGTCTGGTCTCTTTGGATCCCTCGTCCCTTGTCAAGTCGTCCTTCTTTGGGTCTCCGCGGCTCCCTCTTCCTCGGTGCAGACGGGAAGGACAGGGCATGGACCAGCATCCCCTCCGATACTGAGAACCGATCAGTGCGCTGGCGCGAGGCCATTGGATTGTCAGGAGGTACCTTATTCTACCTGACCTACCTACTACATAGTAAGGTAAGGTACGCCGCGATGGATGGAATCTGCTGTTGCCTGCTCACCAGCGCAGCACCGTCCTCCACTTCCTTCGCCCACGTCCTTCCCTCACTGCTCCCCGCCCCCCTGGCCAGAAAAGCCACTGGTCCAAGGGACCCCCGGCCGAGTCCAAAGTTGCCGGTTGGACGCTCGTTGGGCCCCCCCAGTCAGATATGCGGTCTCCACTCAGTAAGGCGCAGCCGAGCCCCGTCGTTGCCCGTCTGGTCCATTTCAATTCAGGTCATGTCAGGTAAGAATTCCTCAACCAGCATCAGGTCAGGCCTAGTGTTGTCGACACTTGCTCTGCGAACTAGACCCCTTCTTTTGGTCTTGTCGTTAACCTAGGTATCCGTACCTACCCACGGCCGTCTGTCAGTGCAGACTGTCCGGGGGACGGCGTAACATTGAAGAGGGCCCGACTGCTGGGGCGGGATGGACGCATGGCAAGAAGAGAAGGGGGGAAGGGGGAGAAAAGAAAAAAATGTCCATTTGCTCAAATTGGCTAAAGGTAGGTAGGTGCCTATGCCCGTCTAAAACCCCCCAGCACTGGCACTCTATGACGTGCCGCTGGGAAGCACCCGTATTCCGCATCATGCTCCAGTAAGAGGCAAGTACGCAGATTCCTATTCGTACCACTCTCGCCAGCTGGTGTGAGACCCGAAACTGAGACTCTTGTCTCTGGCTAAGATAACGCTTAATGCCATCGCAATGCGCCTGTACCGGCCGTGTCTCATATGGCAAGTACGCCAAACTCCCCCAAGTGTGCGCGGCTTTGTCCTGCCCACGCCTTAACCGGCGAACCGTCGTCTAAGTTATTCTAAAGAACCTTGATCTTGGGATACCAACTGCGCATCGCGCAGTCTCCAATTGAACGGAGATGAGGACCAGCGCGCATGGACCAGCACTTGCCGGGAACACAGCTGAGCCAGACAGTGGCAGGACAAACTATGACGACTTCAGACGAAACCCCGGCCACCACTCATCAGTCATCTTTTTTTTGTTGTCCGGTACCATGACAAAACACCGCAGCGGCAGTGACAGCAATAGCAATCAACCATGTAGCAGGTAGTAATGGCAACCGCGATAGTCCCGCATCGAGATCGCCCTGCCCCCAAGGACATGCACTTTTTTAAGACTTTTTCCAAGGCATCCGGCCACCAAGCCGCGATGGCGTCGCAAAGTGATCGACCGACCCGCGTCAATGTGTGCAAAGACCCAGAAACAGGCGCCGACATGCAACAGTATTCAATTGTGATTGCCAGATTCTCCATGTATAATACCAGCTTTGTTATACCCCTATCCGCACAGCTGGGCACCTCATCCATACGAACCCAGGCCCCGGCAACCAATGTGCTCAAACTACGTATCAAGTGCCTGGTTTACACCGATAGCATTCCACGTTGAATTACGCTTCTCGCGCAGGTATCGTTGCAACAACCATCTTACGTAGTCTGCACAGTCTCCCCGAGGACAAAAGGGCCCGTCCAGCTCCAGCCAGTGGACATATGCCGTGCCGCAGGAGACATCTCCTGTCATCATCCCACGTTGATAGCGAACTCGCTGGCTCACCCAATCACCTCACCGGCATCCGCAGCAAGAGACATACCAGAGTAGTTAAGGATCTTATTCCTAGCTGACCTTCACATCAGTAATACGAACCGCTCTCCCAGCACAACCCAATCCCAGTGTCAGCTCTCGCTCAAGTCCCTGCCTTAGCCGGCTACTTTCAGCGTCAAATGGAACTCCGCCGGCACTGCAGGGTTGCGGAAGTCTTCCCCGCGCATGCCACTCATTGCTATTCGTACGTAGTCCTAATGTCATCCCAGGATAGGACGCACGCACGCACATGATTCTTGAACCATGAACTCGATAACTAATGTACAGCCGCCCCGCCCAACAGACCTCCATCTTCCCCAATGTCGTCCCCCGTCCCCAGCGACGAATGCCGTGGGAGAGTAACATTTGATCCCTTTATCTCAGTCTAGGTGGAGAATATCACCTTAATTACAATTACAAGTATGGTCCATCCCTTTTAACCATTTCTCATGGTTGCAGTTGCCCCGCAAGCCAAATGACGAAATCGGAGCAGGGAAACCAACAGCAACAATCCATGACCGAGTCGAGTTCCATTCGCATACACGGAGCCGACTGCCGAGCGATGTTCCGTAGTCCATGGTCGCCCTGTTAAGATGTCGTTGGAAACGTCTACCCATGTCCACATATGGACTTTATTTTCTCAATTGATGATTTGATGCACTGCGTGCCCGCCAAAGGTGTGACGCCTTCTAACTCTCATGGGGGTTCCGACGACGACGCAAGATGGGCACGTCAGAAGGGACAATAAATAATAATAATAATAATAATAATAATAATAATAAAAGAATGAAAAAGCACCATGCGTTATTATCCAACACATATGCAAAGCCGTTTGTTTCTACCGGTGTCTTCCTTCCCATGGCCAGCCTCTACTCTCGAAAAGGTTGAAGTTAGTAGGAACGCCAGAGAAGAGTCCCAGGAAAATACGGATCCCACACCACCGGGCCCTCTCACATGCGCCGTTCCGGCAAGCCACATCGCCCGGCCACAGGCTTTTTTCTCCCAGAGGCTGGTTACGCGCCGCTATTAGAGAACCAGGCTCCGGAGTAATGCAGAGAAGGAGCTCTTTGGCTACTGCGCCCCTCGGCGGAATTGTCCACGCGGGTCATCATCGTAAATACGATGCGCACTCTCCAAAACCCCTACCTTCTGCCAGTCTTTAAGAAATGCGTCACGGGTCGCTAGCTTGGCTTGACCTTTACACTTGGTGGCAGTAGATGAACGGCATGCAGCAAGCCGTGGGAATACGATACGGCAACGCGGAGATGGCGTTCGAGCGTGTTACTGGGCCGATGCATGTTGCCAATCTTAGCTCCTGCTCTTCAGGCGGTGATACGTGACTCCCGCTGGGTACTGTG